AGAGGTTTGGATGAGTCAGGATGAGTCTTACCTTGGGACCAGCAAGTCCAGGTAGACCAGGTTTCCCAGGTTCTCCCTGCAGAGTAAAGAGAATAAAGAAGACCTTCTTTAATTAAAGACTTTTTAAAGATATTTTTTTTTTTTTTTACTTTAATTTATTTTATTTAATGTCAGAGGTCAGAGTGCTGTATTTCTTACATTGCAAGTGCTCAAAATCGACAATTTAAAGCAGTAGTATATGGACAATTTTTTTTTTTTACTTTAATTTATTTTATTTAAACTCACCTGTCAGAGTGCTGTATTTCTTACATTGCAAGTGCTCAAAATCGACAATTTAAAGCAGTAGTTCAGCCAATATGGACAATTGTGTCATTATGTTATTATTATGAGAGTTTGTTGTTTCATCTACTGCTGACTGAACTTTATCTGTAGATGGTTTATCTGCTGTAATAAGCTAGCAGCCCTCTCTAACGTTCTCCTTTGGCGTCTGTAGATTAGAGGAACTTGTAAACCAGTGGATTTGGCGGCAGGATTTCTGGCTTCCTCCTGGCGTCACATGGAAAGACATCGCTGAAGGGACGGTGGACGGAGGTCGGCATCCCGTACCGCGCGACCTGCTCATCTCCCTGCCCTTGGCCCTGGGTTTCATCGCACTGCGGTTCGTTTTCGAAAGGTGCGTATCAGCATTACGTCTATATTCACCTTATAAGAGAATTTTAACATTAACCCCCTGGGGTCGACAGTTCCGGCGGCGGAACTTTTTGCAGATTTGAATGTTGACAGCGAAAAGAACTAAAATGCTCCTTCATACTTGATCGTACATATAAGAGTAATACAGCATTTCAGTCTGTAAAGGGTCTACTTTTATTTGTGTACACTCACAATATCAACAAAACATTGTGCTTTTGCAAAATAAAGAAAATATACAGGGTATGCTTTTAGCCGTCTCATTCTCCGCGCATATCTGTTTGAAACGCGTCACTAAAATGAACTGAAACTCAGCGAATATTTGACACACACACATGACAGATATATCTATAGAAAGCTTAACATGTCTACTTTTAAACGAAGTAAGTAATGACGAAAACAAATATTATGTGACAAAGTAATCAGTATGAAACCAACGCGATGTCAAGTCTTGGCCGTCGCCCTCATTATCGCTAATGTGACCACGCCCACGCGCCGATCGCGCTTTTGATATTACAATAGTCCACGTGAGACACGCGTGCATGTAAACGCCCACATCACAGCAAACAAAGCAGAGAGACTTTTCCTCAAGTTCATCTCGGCTACTTCGCTTCTGGAAGAAGACGCGCTGAGAGGAATAAGCTTTGGATTTTCCTCAGAAGAACGCGCCAGCGTGATATTCAGTGGAGGATATAGTAAGTCTTTTTTTATTTGCCTACTTGCATTAGTTGCTATTGTGTTACTGTGACATAACT